GGACGGCGAAGGAGAACGGCCGGAGCATCACGAGACGGACGCGGAGGCCGACGGACGCGATGGACCGCGGAAAGCACAGGGAAACGTTGCGCTCTCCCAAGCATGGTGGGGCAAATTTGGAGGCAAACATTGTGGGTTTTGGAAGGGCCCGCCCCCTTTGCCCCTGCTTTGAGGGTTGTTGTTCCGATCAGGTGCCCGGCCACCGGGTTCGTGAGTGGACTTTTGGGGGTTTAGAAGTACCTCACTGTTTCAGCGCCATGTTGCATCCACCTCAGCTATGCGGAGGTTGGTTCTTGCAGCATCAGCTGAGAAGGTGGTCCCCAAGAAGGACTGACACATTCTGAATGTCTCAAATGGCCAGTTCAGGAAGGCCACCCACGCAACACCTGCTACGCCAAGCGACCCCTGTGCGCAGGTAGTCGCCATCGTACAGGAACGTGTAGCTGGAATCGTTGCCTGGGCCCGGGTCGTCCGCGCATGAGTGGCTGCTGCGACGGACAGAAATTGAAACGTTGAAAGTTTTTGGCATGTGGACTGATCTGGAGAGAAGTTTCAGCAAAATGCAGGAAGTAGCAGCTAGTCATCCTCTCTTCCGTCCCTCGCCGCGAGAGCGCCAGCTGCGGCTACACCATGCACTGGCACTTTGACCCATTTGCATCCTCCAAAACAAGACGCGTGGAAACTCCCTAAATGTCTGAAAAGACCGAAGACACGTGCGGTCCGTGCGGCACGCCGCGTTGAATCACCATGGGAGTGAAGCCCGGCTGGATTGGAGTCTGTTGGGTGGGGTTTGGGCAACGGAGGGTGTCCATCATCCACACCAAACTGGCGAGGTTCTACACATAACACCTCTGCTTCTGGATTGGTTAAGTGTGTTAATAACTTGGAAAACACCAGGAGTCACAAAGGGCTGCCGAACTTGGAGGATAGGGGTGCCCATAACATCCACTCACTGGATGAGACTAAACTCTTCGTCTCAGCGGCGGATCTCTATCAGGACCCGATTCCTCAGCGGCACCGCGTCGATCGCACGATCGGCACGCGTGATTGCGTGATCTATCGTGATCTGTAGACGAACTGGGTCGGGCCCGAGGTCAATGTCACTTCTAGGAAGCTCTCTGAGAAGCTAAGCCACTTGAGAATCAGAACCTGGAACAGGTCTCAGACATTTGTGAATGGTGTCTCAAGAAAGCTCGGATCTATTGGGAAACCTGGTTGACGCCACCCCGACACCCCCAATCTTGGGAAAGAGTTGGTTGGGTGATCCATCCTTCGTTGTCTAGACTAAAATGTCCTAGTCAAAAAGAGTTTCATGGTTTGGTGAAATTGAGTGGATCCCTCATGTCCTGGCCAAACGGCTTTCTTCCCTCACCCCCTCCCATTTTCGTTGCAACGAGCCAAGCGTCTCCATGATCTCAATGCTGACCCCTCAGCCAAGGATGGGTCAGCACACAGAATACCACTCATCATGAGATTTATGATCTCTGCTGCCACTACCGTGGACAGCAATGCTTTCATGACATGGGTAAGCACTCTAGAAGAAGAGGAGGAGGAGGAGAAGAAGAAGAAGAAGAAGGTACAAAGACGCACAGAGATATCTACCAGTTTTACTATAGTTCCTGATGCGTACTACGTACATCATATCAAATATATCCCGGCAGCCCTTCAAAGAATTGACTCTGAATCGTTGTGGGTGCCTTTGGCTTTGGGGTTACCCCTCTCCACAAGAGAAATTGCTTTGGAACGGGGCATCAGTGATAAGGAGATGAGATTAGATGACGACACATGAGGGTCAAGAACGCTCAGTCGCTTTTCTTGCCCGCAGCCGCAGTGTAGTGGAACACCCCGTCGAACAATTCAGTGAGACCCCTAAAATCTCAGATCAAATCACATACACCCTTGAACTCAAATGTCAAAATCAACACCTCACCAAGGATGAAAAGCCCTGGGGATGTCAAACGGAGGGGAGGGCCATGTCATCAACCTGTTTGGACTTTTCGAGTCAACCAGTGAGTCACTGGTACCAGTGACGGCGCGTGGCTCGGAACCCAGGTGGGGACCGTTGAGGCAAGCCAACGCCTGGGCAAGTCGGGGCTCTGTGTATATGTTGTGCGGACTCCTTGTGCACCCCTGTGTCGTGGGGACTCTGTGGTGCACGACCCAGGCCAATGGCCTTGCGAATGGCCTCCAACCAAGCAGCAAAGCCGGAGAAGCCCGAGCAGCGCGCGGGCCGGCTTTTAAGCTTGCAAGGCTTGTCTTAAAATGTGAGATCGGACAGGACACGGTGTGACACATGGTACCTGCGGTGGCCTGGAAATCTACACGTGCCGAAGTGTTCATTCATACTGTGAAGTGGTTTTGGGGTGGCTAAAATGGTGAACGGCTTGCTTTTCTGGGAAGACGCAGCCAGTCTCTGTTTGCATGTGGCTCTCAAAACCACTCACAACAGTCGCCCATGTTCATCTGGTTTCATGTCTTCCATCTACATCGCGGGTTGTAGTGGAAGATGCTCAACGGCTGTGGAATCTGGCTCACACGCACCCATTTGCGGCCACTTCCATCCACTTCCTATCATTTTCTGTGCTGATTTCCGCTCACGGCTTCGCATGAGCCAAACGGCTGACCCGCGGCGTGGCGGAACGGCTTCACGGGCCCTCAAACCATTCACCTCAACCAGCGACGTCTTGAACAAGACAGAATTCGATGGACACAAAAATTGCGCGATCGAGTTACATGCCACGGGGTTCTGTATAAGTCTTTCGTGGGATCAGCACACGCCGGAGGGTTGGCGAAATTCCAAGTGACTGAACAGCTTGGTGGGTCATAAATTTAAGCCGCCGACCCTGGCTGATATGAATGATCAATCTGATCCCGGCTCCCCTAGAGAGAACGAAAAAAGAACCCTCACCTCGTCGCCCATCTCCTTCAGCGACCGCAGCTCTGGGGCCACCGGGGGCGCCTCCCAAAGGGGGTGTTTGGGTGATTCTTAAGGAGAAGTGACACCAGCAGCCTGATTGAATCGGTTTCTTTGGCGCTTGACCCCGTGCTATCATCGTGCTCTTGGCTCTGTCAGCCTCCAAACCAAAAGGTCTTGTCTGCCGGCAACCACCCCAAGAATTCAGGAGCTTCAATTTGTCACTGCATAGGCCCACCAGCCTTCGCCATGAGGCACAGGCGGTCTAGCCAGGGGACGACACAACTGCCGCGCACACGGAACCACTGGTGCCCACTGAATCTGGCTGCCTTAAATCTCAGATTGTCAGTGGAACTTCTTTGGGTCAGCCCCTCTACATATGCGGAGTCATCGGATGGTTTTTCAGGCTTCGGGAGCTCTCAAGCAGAACTGGAAGTAGATCTCCATATTGTATTGTTATTGTTGTTTGTTCTGTTTTATCCTGTTCTTTATGCCCGTAGACTTACCTTATTTACTCCAAGGATGCTTCCCAAATTCTGACATAGACCCAAACCTCAGGATCCTTGAAGAGGTTGAAACATTTCGGCCGGCGTGGATGGGTGAATGCTTGCATTCCGGAGAAACCGTTCATGGCATTTAGAGGTGCAGCACGATGACTTTGGCAAGCAACTGTCAGAAGCTTCCCAACCCACTACTGCCAAGGGGAATGTCACGCGTTTGACTTCATCTTTGGATTGCACTACCTCCTGCAAATCCTGGCAGGCACGAAACGTTCAACATGCCTCAGTCAGACCACGGAATCGGAACAAAAGACCCGACCCAAGGGTCGCAAGGAGTGAAGTCACCTTCGCCTACACGTCAGCAACACGGTCCGACTGAACCACCTGTCTTTGCATGTGGCCCAAGGCTTCTTGGGATTGAAACGCGGCGGTGTCACCCCACGTGACCCAACGAGTTGGAGGGCCCCGGTACAAACAAAATTCAGCCCCTTGGCGTGGGGGTCCGACTGTTTGGATCATGCGACTGCTTGTGTCATAACATTCCGTGACCCTCTACAGTATGTCCCTTCCGGCTCGTGAACCCACAAGAACCACACCCTGACCACCCTCCAGCCAGCCCCTCCAGAGCGCGTTCTTTTCCTCACACGCCTCAGCCCACACCTCGCAAGGCCTTTTGAGGCTGTCACAGGCCTCACCTCTTGCTTCCCCCGGCCTTCACCCCAGCAGCCAACAAATGATTGTTCTCTACGAAGCCCCTCTCCAAAATAAAAGTATAACAATTGGCTTGGCAATCCCCCTAAACATTAATCGAGATGGTCCTTGGCCAAAGATTTGTCCAGAACACTCGTGGAGACAACTGACTGGTGCTTGGTAGGGAATGAGCGAATGATCCCCCACAAGAGGTACCTAGAGGCCCTCATGTCGAGTGAGACTGGGTGTGCAGCCTGCCCCAGCAGCTGCAGAATGCCCATGAGACGAGCCCACACGATGCTGAATGACCACAGCTCCAATCTAATCATGTGTGAGACGGCCACTAGGCCACTATAAGTATGCAAAAGATGTAATTGGTTTCAGAGTAGATGGCACAACCCCCAAGATGCTTTGTATGGGGGATTTTCCTATCTACCTTGAAACCAATGCAAAATTTACTCTCAGTAGATCTACTAGCAGTATATGCAGCACCACATCTTCGCCAGACCATCCCTGATTTCTCCGAAGGCATCGAGAATAAACAAAGCTCCACCGGCCCGACACCGTGCTGCCACAAAAATGGACTCCTTCCTATCGATGCGCACCGCTGCACAATTTGAAGACGTCCGTATATACTACATTGTAATATATATATATATACACAAAAACCACCGGTATGAGGATGGTTGATTTAGACATCTTACAAGCATACCCTTATCGGTGTTGGAGCAACCCAGGAAGGCAGCTCCTTAACAGCCTCGGTATCTGCTGGAGGTCACTCTGAGCCGGCCATCACTCATCACTCGTGTGTCTATGTGAAAAGAGTGGGACAAGCAGAGTCCAGTCCCCCAAACCCGACCCCGATGAGATCGAGGAGGAAAACACAAAAAGCTCAGCTGATAGAGATTTCTCCCAACAAGTTCTTTCTTTCGTCTCGGCCCTTTTGATGCCCAGTCCCCCAAACGCTCCACGCTCCTCCGAGGCTTGGAAGGCAAGGACACTGTGTCCGGACCAATCCAGCTCCTCGGAGCCGCCCGCATGAACCACACCGGCTCCTCGGTCCTGTGTGGAGCCTGCGACGCTCATTTCAGCGCCACGGCGACGCACGACGCGGCGTTGCACGCCTCACGCGTCACGGCGTTGGATCCAGCGATGAGTCTCTGGATAGAGGCTTGCCAGGTTCACCTCCGAGAACGTGGCTTCCGAGCGAGGGATGGGCGGGGCGGACGGGGGTGGCTGAGAATGGGAGGTCAGTGATAGAAAAAAGACATGCCGCCTTTCGGTGCTGGCCATGATGTTTGGGGATAAAGCCTCGTCTGGGGGCAATCAATGTTATTCGATATATATATATATACCTTTATTATCTCACTATCTATGTACATAAGCTAACAATTAACAATAAATGAATCGTGAATAGGCAAGTAAATTGATGTCTATATTATATATGTGTGTATACCTATATATATACATAGAGAGAGAGAGAGATGTGTGTGTGTGTGTGTTACTGTTATAGCTCACCAGCCGACTGGCGAGCTTGGGCTTGCCACAGCGAAATGTGGTGTAGCTGATGATGAACCTCTGATTGCTAGGGTCTTTTAGGCCTCTGCAGCTCGGTCAGCCGTCCCCCCCAATTTCTGTGCCCGGGGTGGGTCGCCCAACCCCCCCAAATACTCCCAAGCTGTGGGCACCCCTGTTTTGTCGGCATCGCGTGCTGCCAGACTTCAAGTGAGTCTGGAAAGCACTGTGGGTGCTTGGCGCTGACCACCTTCTGGACAGCGACCAAGAGCGCAACCTGAAACTTTCTGGAAATGGCCACATACTTCAGGTCGATCACTGCATGGATCCCCATCATTGCTGAATGGACCCCTATCATCTGAACGAGGAATACCTACCAGTCATTGCAGGATTGCTCCATCAAGATGCAATGCCCACTCTGGCTCGGCTCATTTCGGGGAAATCTGGCCTTTTCAAAACAAAAACCTCACCGGGGCTTTGGGGGGGAGAATCTGTCCATGTCTTTGTTCGACCGCAGCGCCCAAGTGGACCTATGGTCTTTCAAGGTACCGGTGAGCTCGGCACCGAAATTGGGCACTCGGCACTCACGGTGTGCGGTGAACAGAAAATTTCCTGAAGTTATCCCATAGTCTTCGTCCTTCAAAAGATCTAAGACTAAGACTAAGACCAATATATAAACATGGTGTGAGACTTGAACTTGTAGGTGGCCAAATCCTCAAGTAAAGAGGTTGCGGCCTGCCCATCGCGCACCTGCCATCTAGCTTCACTGGGATGTTTGATGTTGCCACACGCTCGAGACATGCTCGATGCTTTCAATGCGTCAACGTGCTCTGCATCTGTCATGCTCTCTTGCACAAACATGATCTGCCATGTGGATCATTGTTGGTGGACCACCGAAGATGAACTTGCTGGTTGGCCATTAGCAAGGAGGACACTCGAAGGTCGAAGAACAAGACCTCCGATGGCTCTCCGGTGATTGAAATGCAAACCTCATGAGCGGGTCTCGCAGCTGCCTTCGCAGCTTCGTTTTAGCCCCAGACATCCCAACCCAGTGCTTCATCGAATGAGAGCCGCTGCACGCCCGACGTGTTCCAAGCGTGCGTGCTAGAGTGGGCGAAGGTCGGCTTGTCCCCTGCGAAACAGTGAAAGTGAAGTCTCTTCCTTCGGAACCTGCTCTTTTCCTTTGGACCATCCACTGCAAACGAAAACCTTCTCGAAGGTCTTAAGTCTACTCCCATTCCAACTATTCCACCTTCGTCTTCCAACCGACTCACCGGCTGCGGCCCTCAACTAATAGCTATATGTCTATGTCTGGCCGGATCTTACCTGCAACTCGCCCCGGTTCTTGAACTGGACGAGGTTGCGAAGGCCAGGCGGGCAGTGAATGATCGGTGGTTCCAGCAACCTGGCCACCAGATAGACTCCCGGAGGAGGCGCGGCCACTCACTCGCTCGGGATGCAGCTTGAGAGGTGGTGACACCCCAGAACCTCAAAAATCCTAAGGTGGAACAGGTTCGCATCCCTTCTTCTGTATTTGTACGCCAGGAATCACCAGATGCATCGAGAGAGAGTGGGTGCAAAGAGGCCCTGTCATCACTGCAGGGCCGGGGATCTCGCGTGTCCGGCTTTGGCATCCCAGCGCTGATCAACAACGTCAACAACCCAGGTGAGTCACGATGATTTGAAGCACTCCAGAATCGGCAGAAGTGGTATGTCATGCAAAGGAGTTTCAGATGGCCCATCCCAGAATTTTCTGAAAAGTCGTACGACTGTCGGGGGTCGAACTGACTTATATGGTTGGTTCTCCTTGCAGTTTTATGAACAACAAACCTGCTGAAATCTACTGAACACAAACAGTTGTTGGTCGAGAGTTTCACGTACCAAACAAAACACAGACCCCAAATTTAATGGAGCCTATGGAAATTGTATCAGCGAGTCTTCCTTTGCATGCACCTGATTTGGCAGATTCGATCGCCGCCGGATGACCAAGACCGAGGCCCCCTCAAAGTGAATCTACGGGCGCATGCGAACAGCCCGTCTCTGAAGGAATCTGGATTTCCAGCCCTCGTGCCGCTAACGGCTCAAACCTCCCTGGAATGCTTCCAATGTGATCCTTTACCAGGCCTTGGGGGTGCTGAGCTTCATTTCGGGAGGCCAGTGGCAAGCAAACCCCATATGTGCCAGTTAAAATGATCCAATGTTCCTGCGCCACGATCCAGAAACCCAGCGGCCCAGCAAGCATCAAGCCGCGGGGAAGAAGAGGGCAGGGAGGGATGCCTGGAGCTTCGTGCTCATCCGTTGCTCAGACGAAGGTCCATTCGGGTCCGCAATGTCTGATGCGGAGTCCGTTCGGGTCTACCTTTGAGTCCATCCGTCTCCAAGACGTGTCTCCCCCCTGCCCTCCAATAGTTTGGCTTCATTATCCCTCAAGAGCTTGCAAACACTGTCATGTCCAGAGGGGGGGGCAAGTACCGAACCACCATCTTGCATCAAAGCATAACTCAAAGATACTCAAAGCCTAGATACCCTTTTGATTGTTGGTGGAACCTACCTTCACTCCTTGACATCCGGAGGTTTATAGTCGGTCCTGCCACCTTTTCAGAGTTCCACAGTGAGGCAACTCCTCACCAAATCATCGCTTGGATCAGCTCGTGCCGTCGCTTCATGGCCGCCTGCCCTTGGATCGCCCGCGCCATCTCCTCGTTGACCTTGACTGGAAGCTCCTCCGGCCGATGCCCCAGCTCCAGCGGTGCTGCAGGCACACGGGGACGCTGCGTGGGATGCGGCGTGGGATGCGGCGTGGGATGCGGCGTGGGATGCGGCGGCATGGAGCCTCAAGGGCGCGACCATGTTCAGAATCCACCCATGCTCGGTGCTAGTCGTTCATGCCAGTGTACGGTGGGCAAGCCTACACTTGGTACATACTTAGCCTTATTTTGGACCTCCTCTTCACTCTTCACTCTGCACTCCCACCTGGCCTGGACCTACCTGGCTTGCCGGCGCGACGCTCCGGGGGGCCCAATCCGCCCGTGGAAGGGCCGAACACGGCACCGTTGGCCGGAAGGGCTGAGCGCTCGCAGCACACCCGACAGCTGCGCCACCGACGGCGCCACTCGCACAACTCGCGCAACTGGCACCTCGTGAGAGGGGGAACTGACTGAGTGTTTGGCACAGTGAGCAACAGAATCATGCAAGAGGTGGAAGACCTCGCTTTCCAATGCTTTCTTCGACTACGAGTACCAAAAGCGCTCTTTCCAAACTGGGGGGCTGTTTCGGTTTCGCGGCGGTATAAACCAAAGGGCCCACTGCGACATTTGTACACAAGTGGCCGTTTCCGGGGTGCCCTGGGGGCTATATGCCTCTCAGTCTCTGCCATAGAACTCATGAAACCATTTGACAACTCCATTGGTCAAGAGAAAAATGTTGCAGGTTCGATGGCACAAATCCCAAGGTGTCTTGCAGCTGGGGGTCCATATAAACCACCGACCTTGAGGTCTGTGCCATCGAATCTCTCCGACCTCGACTGTGATTAAGCTCCTCACCGACCAGACCAGAGTCCGGGAACAGACCAGTACCATAGCGCTTGCGAAGTAGCTGGTCCAGTTCGGCTTCCCGTCCTGCAGCTTCAGGTTCAGATTGAGATAAAGAGACCCCAAACCAATGGAGGGGCTTTGGATGGTCCTACCTCTTACTCGTAGACCTTCGAAGGTCAGTTGACCCTGAGGTTACCATAATTGAACTCCATTGCCTGCTAATTCTGAGATTCCTACTGACGACGGAGTTTAAGAACGCCAGGCATAAAATGTCCCTCACATTTGGCGTAGGCCCGGCATGGGGTATGCTCAATGCTCAACGCTCAATCAGTCTTCAACTGGCAGGCAAAGGCAAAAAGTCGTGCAACATGATCCCCAAGTCCCAAGTCGCCCCCCCGAAGTCCGAGTTTGGAACGTGTTTTCTCCCGTTCGGTGTTTGGTGTCCATGTTCCGCACGTCGCGCGACGTAGCGTGCGCGCGACATGGCACCGTGAAGGATGCAAAGACCGAGCCCAATTCGGGTTTCTGCCTGGACCTGGAGCACCTAGAGAGACCTTGCGCCCTTGCGGCGGTCCTTGAAACGTTCGAACCAAGCCCTCGACAAAGCTTTGCTCCAGTTGTTCTGGTGCATGTCGACGATAGAAGTCGATGAGGCTGGTCCTGCACGCGCAGGACGGGGGAACCTGGAGCTCCAAACTCCGGACCTCCTGAGATCAACCACTCCTCCAAGCAAACACGTGAAGAGGTCAGCATGCGCATGTGTTGGGCATTTCCTGTGCAGTATAACTGTATAACAGCTTCACGTCGCGCCAGCCAGCCCTGAAACCAAACCCAGTCCTGAATAAGGAGTTGGGCGGGGGGCAAACTGGCCTACATTTCTCGGATCTATCCGCGGGCACTCTTGCGGCGAGAATTGATTCCTGGGATGTCCAACACACGGCGGCCGGCGCAGACTTATGCGAGAAGCGCAAAGAAAGGAGAATGTTGCATTTATGCTGTAGAGCCGAGCTGTTTCTACTCAGAAGCAGTGTCATGCCAAATCTGTGTGCAAAGTCTATCTGTGCACCAAGCAAGTGGGTTCAGCTTGCCTCAAAACTTGCCAAGAGCGCCAAGAGTCATGCTCATGTTAGGGCACATCCCTGGACTCCACCCATTCATCACACCATTCACACCGCACTGGTTCGGAGCGCCACTGCTATCCATCCGAACACCGGGCGCCACAGAGGAGCCGCCCCACGCGGGGACGCCCAGGTTCGGCCCATCATAGCCATAGCGCCAGGGGTGCATGGCGAGCGGCCGCCGCGACCGGGGGGGAGCCGGGGCCGCCAAAACTACGCCGGAGGCTCCCCGTTTTGGGGCGGCGCCTGCAAGAAGCCCCAAACGGCGTCGGTGTGGGAAATCCGATGTTCAAGGGTTTGAATCTGCCAAGCACGGTCTTTTGGGAGGTCGCCAGACCGTTTGAGGCGCAACCATCTCTAAAGAAACGCCGCGGTGACATGCGGTGACCCTATCCGGACGCCGGACCCAAGTGAGCTCATTGAAAGCGGGAGCACACATGGAAGTCAGATCCACCTCATCTGACCTATTCTGTTCGCAGTGCCCACCATCGCCCCCCCTTCCAAGCCCAGCTCAGGCCCAGCTCCAACCACACGCACCTCACCTCTTGGTGCTCGGAGGAGTAGGCGGCCAGGTTCACCACGCCCTGGCTTACCACGCGTGGTGAAGGGTGTCACAGGTCTGTGGATCGATCAAAGCCTAAGCAAGTCGCCAATCGACCAGGCTCGCAAGCGACTGACCAGGCTCGCAAGCGCCAATCAGCCGTGGCCTCGTTCGTGACCTCTTTTGGAGTGCCTTCAGTAAGTGGCCTTTTTGACAGGCCTAGGAAACACCTCAAACTCACTTGGGAAGAGCCACGAAGAGAACAAAAGACCCGTTCAAAAAAGAACTAACAAGACACACTCACCCGGTTCTGGGGCGGTCGAGCCCAGTCTCCATGTCTTCACCGGGCGGCCCCGTCACCGGTCGAGTCCAGTCGAGCCACCCACCCCTCACTCGCCGGACCCTGCCTCACTCTGAGGGGCTTGGCCTCGGAGTGGGCCCCGGAAAAGCTTCAGTGAGGGGGTCCAACCATCGGTGTTTATTGATTTTTTGTTCTTTACCATCGACATGCTATATATATATATATATCCGATATATGATGATATATATATATATATATGGTGTTCGCGGATGTTAGCCGACTGCCCCCAAACATCAACGGGGCCCCTACCCGTGTCGGGTATACCGCGGCCAATTCACCCAAAGATCGGGAGAACAAATTGGGCGCAGCGAGCGGACCCACTTGACCCAAGACCAAGCAGTTGCCAAGTAAGACTCCCGCCGTTCGCATCTTGTCAAACTTGAAAGTCGCATGGTGCTGTGCAGGGGAAGGTTCCATCAAAGGCTCATCTTATGATGTTGTGATGCTCCCTGAAGAGTCATCAAGAACCGGTTGCTGAACCGAACCATCCGAACCCCTCCAAATCTCCTGCCCGAGTGGCTCCAGGGACTGCGGCACAGCCTCAGGTGAACGAACACATCACATGGAAGTGCATGGCATGGCATGGGCTCCTTGGAAGGCTCCTTTCTGTGGTGTGCCGGCCGGAGTGCAACAAGACACGTCGGGCGTTTCTTTGGCTGCCGTGATCACCCCTCCCTGGCTCCCTCTATTTGCACCAAAGCCACGGGCAAGTATCGCTCTTCCCTGCGGACGCCCAGCGCTGCTGGCAGTCGCAGTGCACATTGTGGCCACAAACGCGGCAAAAGTCCACACCCTGTGCGAAATCGGGCTCACTCTGCAAAATGGCACGCTCAAGTTTGAACTTGAAGCTAGCTGCCCCAACAAGAGCGACATGAAGTTGCCCTTTGTCCATGCCCTTCTTGCCATGCCAGATCTACACAAGAACCTAGTGCAATTATCTCGTTTTGATTGACAGCCCTCACACCTTCGACCATCTCCAGCCTTCCCCTCCACAATCTCCTCGAAGCAAATGGGGCAATCCGCTGGCAGCGGCTGTCGTGCGCAGCCTTCTCTACCACCCTGCGCCTCAAAGCTGGGCAAAATGGTAAAGGGGCATGGGAAGGGGAAGAAGTCGTCCCACCAAGCACATGGGCTTCTGCAGAGCAGCCATCGCCATCGAAATGCAAACGAAGCACCTGCTGGTATCCTCGCATCACAGTGGCATCTGCCTGCACAACTTCAAATTCTTCAAACCTTCCCCCTGCTGCACACTGAGGTGAGAGAAAAAAAACAAAAGAACTCAAAGACATGCACTCCAGGGGGTCGTTTCTGTTTGATGCTTGATGATTTCTGTATTTTAAGGAACTCACAGGCTCCCGTGCCTGCACTTCGCCCCCCACTTGGAAGGAGCCCGTCCGGAAAAGCGTCAGCAGCGGCTGCAGCTCCTCAGAGCACGACGCCGTCAGTTGGGCGAGTCGGTATCCGGCGGGCCTTTTTCCTTTAGAAGCTATGGGAGGGTGTAAGGGCGTGTGTTTTTAAAAATAAATTGAAAAAAAAAAATATATATATATATACATACACCTTAGAAGTCAAAGACCATTTAAACATGGTTGATCTGGTTTTGTAGTAAGTGTAAAACCCTTAGTGAAACAATGGTTGTTCGGTATTCAGGCTATTAAAACAATGGTGGTTCGACATCTAGGGTGTATGTATATATATATACATGTGCAATTGGAAAAAGGGTTCGATCATGCCCGGACTGCTAGAAATGCAACTGATTCATTTCTGGCGGGAACAATGCCCATGGATCCATGGGCTCTAAGCAAAGCAATGTCAGCGGCTTCTTATTGAAGACCAGAAAAACACTGCCATGAACATAGAAGGCTCAACTGCCAAACCCTCAAAGGACATTCCCAGCGAGGCACCACAAAACAGGGGAGGTTTTGTAGGTCAATTCACCCCCAAACACATCCACACACCTGTCCAGATTGTCTCTAACAACTGTCCAACCAGAACCTCGAATCTTGTGGAAACTGCTCCATCAATCCAACCTTTTTCTTTTTGCTCAGGTGCCAAGTCAGTCCCCACAACTGCACCCAGCGACCAAGTTGCCCGAGCCGGACTACTCGGCCTTCAGTCACTGTCTGTGCGGCCAACATGAACTGTACAAAAGGACGCTGAATCGCAAAAATCGCTACCTTTGTGGGAAAGCGTCTATTGGTACGGGCTGAGCCGGCTGCGCTGTCAAACCTGTGCCACGGCTCACAAGGCCCAAAAAAAGCACGCACGTGAATTCCGGTTGATCCTCGGAAATGACGCCCGTTGACGATCGCAAAATGTATCCCAGGTCCCCGACTTGGCACGCTCACTCGGTGCGAATTGCGCCAAGTTGGGCGGAGCATTCCTTTCATCAACCACGCCACACAGCTGGGCACCGAACACGATGCACCAGCTCACTTTGCAGGTGTGGCTGTGCTCTGCTCAGGTTGAAGCCCCACATCGACCAAGAAGCGCTGCCCATGGGAGGAAGCTTCCAGGTGCGATTGGTGGAGCTTTATGAATTTCATAGCTGCCTGGAGGGATGGAATCGGACCCCCTCTGTGCTCGGAGAGGTGGCCAAGATGACCCAGGAAGGGAAAGACAAGAAGACGTGCATTCCCAAACATCCCCAAACCAACAACAACGTCTATAGCAACCCTTAAATCAGCAGAAGCAGCCGAATGAAGAGAACCAAGTGAACATAATCGACTACAGGCAGTGATTGGCCCACTGACCCTTTTCGTGATGAGACAAGCCCAAAAATGTCCGGATGTGTAGAAGTTCATAAATCAAAAGCCATGCTCAACTTCTATGGCGCATGGATCTAGAAGAGAAGCGAGGGCACCCCAGCGCCCACGTGCCCGAGGGCGAGGCCTCAGTGTCCACGATGCCCTCCTGCAGCAAGGCACGTGCCACGTAGCAGCCGAATTGCGTCAAGGCCAAGTCAAAGATGACACCTGAGTCATGAGCAGTTGATCCCAATCACTATGACACTCGACTCCAAGTTCAGGCAGTGTCTTTTGCTTTTGTCCGCGGCCTTTCAAAAGTTTCAATCACAGGGAGTGCCATGGAAAAACTATGAAACATACACAAAAATAGTAAATAATATAATATAACATAATATTATATATAATATCATATAATAAAACATAGTAAAGTCTAATGTATATATATATATATATGCGAGCTGAAGACTGCTTTCGGTTCCGATCGAACATTTCATGGAGGGGCTCCAACATTTCATGCGTGCTGCGTAGTGGTCTTAGGATCCGAGAGACATCCCACCTTTAGTCGTCCCAAGCATTTGCTCAGTGTGCACCGCTTCCACCCACATTCCATGTCCATCCCACGGGGGCATTAGAGGCAAGCCTTATTCATCCTCATTTGCGGTCGATGCGCGTTCACGGCAGGGGAAGCCTTATTCAAAAAAGGAAAGCCCTGGAAAACCTCAAAACCCAAATGGTTTCTCCCAGCTTTTCCCTCTGCCGTCCCTGGGTCGTAGAGCCCAGGAAACCCTGCCGTCCCCCGGTTTCAGCTGGTTTCAGGCCTTTGGCTCGGGGGAGGCCCCCCACCCGGAGCAAACCACCGTCCACCGTCTTTCGGGTGTCCAGGCGGCGTGGTTGGCCCAACGGTCGAGTCAACGCCTGTCGGTGAGCCTCACTGCAGTGCCGGAGCGCCTGGGACCGGTCACGGGGGATCCCTACATCCCTACATCCCCACCCGCAAGGGATGCGCCAGTGTGGCAATCCGAGTAGGGCACTACTAACCCACATTATCGCCGTTGGAGTCCAGTGTTCGCATCCCTTCTCCGCTCCTCCCACGAACAGCTCCCCTTAAACACAAGCATGCTATAGCGTGCTTCATTAATCGAAAAGAGCTGTCAGCGCGGCAAGTAGTGTTGGAAAGATTCTGTATGTCTACATGTTCAAGGTTGAGGTTATAGTTATAATTCAACAATTCTTGAGGGTGTTGAAGAGGTTCAAGACATACTTCCCTCTTTGTTCGTGGCTTGGCAGGGAAAAGCCTGACCTGAACGGAGACCATCCCTTCTGCGAGACATAGGAGATCAGGAGATCTGATTCCTGGGACATGACCTCCTCAAGCCTTATACACGCTCTGCAACACTCATGGAAGATCATGGAGCTGGAAGATTGGCCTTTGGAAGGCTACTTTCCTCGCCTCTAGCACCATAAGGTTTTGCACTTCCATGTTAGCGAGTCAGAGTGTAGATCTTATAATCCTCAAGTCACCCAAAGCTTTGTGTAAAGCGGGGGTTCTCACTCAATAATATGCTGGTGATCGTAGCCCATTCCAAGTGCTGCGCCTTCTCTATGATATAGCTGGAGTTCTTGTGGGTGGCATATCTCCTCAGCTTGTTGCAGAGTCATGTGGACAAAAGCCCGGTCTTACCCGATCATCATCAATCAATGTGCATAGACGTACAGACTTATATACTATAACATATTATATATACGTTGATGACATTGGATTGTGAAAGGTTCATGACCTCCCTTGCCAAGTCATGTGCTAAGAAAACGACTTGGCCCCTTGGTTATTGATATCCTGCAAGGCCAAAATTCTTGGAGGCCGGATGTTTTCCGAAAATGCTCTACAATCCACTTCCTCTTATATAACTGCGAATGAGTCAGTGCAACCCACCTTAGCAGTAGTAGGATGAGCAGTCCACATCAGAACTGCTGGCTGCGGGGAAGCCAAACTTGCCTTTGCAATCTCTTGCATTGACAACAAAAAAAGAAGGGTGTCCGCGATTGCATCGATTTGGCCCATCCACCAGAACATCATGCATTTGCACAAGATCAAGACATGTGAAGAAACGGGGGCAACTGAATCCACCTGTCAACTACAGACGGAACGCCAATAGATCAAAGAGCAATGCACTCCTAAATGAGAATACTTCTCCCAACTAGCTGACCCAGTCACTCCCCTCCAAAACAACCTTCTTCGGAAGTGGTCTACCTGATTTGTTCATTCTACCTCTGTGGAGACCTCCAGTCCAATTCGGCCCGATCCGATCGCCACGTCTCCAGGCATCACCGATCAACTCCTCGGCCACGGAGGCCTTGTGCCGCTCGGAGCCGTTCTCCAGGACCGACTCGATGACGTGGTGGGCGAAGTTGTGACTGCAGAGGTTGGACAAATCCACCAGCAACTCATCCACCAAGCCTCGGAAAGGCTGTTGTTGTTGTCTTTTTTCAGCTGCAGGTTGGGACCGGATCTGCGGATCGTAGAGTTGGGACCAAGGACCGGCCCAACAAGTGCCGGGCCGATAGGACGACAAACAACAAACAAGTGGACACCACAGCACACACCCGGACCATCCCCAACCCGGTTTTCCTACCATTGTACCTGGGCGAGTGGGGATAGCTGGTCAATTCAGCAGTTGAGACATTAGGATGGGGTCGGAGCTGCTTAAATTTTATCGAACAAAGGTTATGTTGTCCCTCAAGAAGATTCAAAAAGGTTGATTGGCAGCCCACCATTCACTCACAACCAACGTAAATGACCACCAGGTCGATGTTGGGATAGAATTGAATGACCGCATTTCTGGCATGCCAGGACCATGCCCTCAACGCGTTCAGCTGCTCCGGCGCCCTGCCCCTGCCGTTCAGCCACGGTCCGTGGTGCTGCTCGGGCAAAACTCGAGGAGTCGGCAAAAGATTCCTCGGGCGGCCCAGAAGGGCCACGCGCCCTTCTGATGCGGTTCGGTGTGGAGAAAAAGCACGGTAACCGGAGAACACACGGAGAACACGCTGCACATGCTTTTTGGGGTGGAGAAGAACGGGCCACTTCTTTTACTGAGTCGTCATGTGTTTTCATGATCCAAATGTTGGATTCATTCGGCGTCTGTGGGAGCATGACATGAGGTGAAAACCTATTTTCCAGAACAAGCGCCACAGGCCGCCACAGGGCCAGGACTGTCAATTGTTCCTTTTGAGCAGGACCTCCAGCTGGTCCTTTCATGTCCCAAACACCAGCGTCCATGATGTCTGCAAGGCGATCGCCCATCAATTCCCCTCGACTTCGCTCCCATCCCCCTCCGCCCAAGCCACCTAGGCCTCACAAGACGGTGCATGGTTCAAAGACTTGAAAACCAACTAACCAACACTGAGATTCTCAACACCAGTACACAACACCAGTACACTGAGAATCTCAGTGTTGTGTACACGGTGCATGGTTTTCAAGACGGTTTTCAAGCACACAACACTGAGATTCTCAGGCCTCTCAGGCCTCACCCTCCCCGCCGCCGCTGTTCTTCGCGGCCCAGGCGTCGGCAGGCGAAGCGATGCTTGGCCACGCGCGCGGCGGAGCCGCTGAGCTCGCGGGCGACAAAAGCAGAGGAAGCGGAGGAGAGGTGAGACACCACCTGGCTTCGGGGCGTTTTGGGCCTTTTGGGGTCCGGTCGCGTGCGTTCCATGTGGCAAACACCGTCAACTGGGCCTGACCAGGGCTGACCCCTTTTTTGGTGACTTGAGCTTTGACCCAGCGCCGTGTGAAAGCAAACAAAAGGAGTCCTAAACAGGACACCCTGCTAATTGGAATATGCTGTCAACTCTCCGTCCAATAAGTGTGCACCACAACAAGAACCGATCCTTTAACGACCGCTTTTGGGCGGAGCAAAAAAAAAAACAGCAAGAAGCCCCCATTCCGATGCGGCGTCCGACGGACGTCTCGCGACGTCGCCCCCCCCCGGCCTTTTGGACCACGTAGTTGGCATAGGGGCACATTACGGCCTCGAGGGAACGGCTGCGCTTCGCTGGGGCAAACCAAGGGGCGATGAGCGGTTTCAGTTCGAGTGTCACAGGCTGCGTAGCTCGGAGCTGCAAAGAAGGCGCGAAAAAGCAACTTGAGTTGTGTAGTTCGCTTCTCAATATCCGATATTTCCGTGGGTTGATGGACTTTGCCCCTCAAAGTTGCTCCATGGCCATCACCAGGATTCAGGGGTGCATCCACAGGCCACCGCTTGGAATTTCGCCAGTTGTCCAGGTGACCCCTGTGGATTTTGTGCGCAGTTGAACTAACCCCAACCAAATCTAATCAAATAATCTAACATCACCCAAGCATCAACAAATTCCAATCCATCTGGCAAATCAGAGTCATTGAGCAGATTCTCGTTTCCCCACCAACGTGCCTCCAGCACATGGCCCTGCAGCTCCTGCGCCAGCTCCGCCGCGTCGCGACTCCCAAGCTCAAAGACCTCCTCGTCGGCGGACTGGGGGACTCGGGGAATGGGGCGGCTGGGCCCCAGACGGGGGTGATCCCCATTCGACTTGGAGTACCCGCACTTGACCAAACACATCCGTCTTCAACTTGGCTTGTGGGAATAAGAGGCTTCCAGAAAGATCACTACCAGGAAGATTTGTTCTTCACCTGGCAAAGGAGATCCCTTTCCAACCCGCCCGGACCTGCCGGTTACCACATCTGTTGGACGACCTCCAGCAGGTGATGTGCGATGACTACACCTAGCAATGAGGCCAATGAGAGACTTTTTGCGAGTAGCTACTATATAGATCGATATATATATATATATATATTAGTGATATATATTCCCCCTCCAACAACCATGGAAGTTGACAATGGGCCCTTGGAAGACTATGTTCCTCTACCAAGAGGGGGTTCTCCACTTCCATGATTGTTGGGGGGAGGGTGTGTATATATATATATATCTCTCTCTCTCTATATCTATCTATCTATCTATCTATTTAATTATGTCTATTTATTGAGTTCATTCCGAAGTTCCCTGACCCCAACCCGCCTGTGTATGCCTGGGTGGGCCCAGAAGAAGTTTTTCTTCCACCCCGGTGTCGGTCCTGGATCAAACGGCAGCCCACCGGATTCTGCGACCAGGCCCACACATAGCCCTTGAGGCTTCGTACAGTGGCTACCTGGTCCTTCTTCAGCCTGCTAGGTGGCGCATGCGGCTGAAATGTGCCTGAGGTTCCTTAGCCTTTCATCTCTTTAGTATGATTGTAAAGGATTGTAAAGGTAGAAAGGCATGAATTGGTAGATCTGGCTGGCTTCTCACCTCCGACGCAAGGTTGGAGGTCATCTTAGACTGCTACGCCCCCCAACTTCCAAACCTCCCTGGAAAAAACAACAGCCTACCGCCTTGCCAGCCAATCCTCACCTCGTGCGGAAGTCTTCCATGCTGGGCACCCGCAGCTGGACGCTCTGCACCATGCGCACCCGTTCCGCCGCCCGCTTCCGCCGCAGCCGCCGCGCGGTGCTCGCCGTCAGCTGCGTCGCCCTTGGGGCGGCGTGCCGCGGCACCTCGTCGGCGCTCTCGTCGGTGGGTAGCTCGGTCCGTGGCGTCGCGCACTGCGCGGGAACGACCTCGGCCTGGCGTGGCACCAAATGGAAGCACGGAGGGGGCCTTGAAGGGGAATTGGACCTATTAAAAAAAGAAAGCAAAACTCCGCGTGCATCCTCGTGCATATGCCATAGCTTCGACCATTTTCACGTCTTCCCGGCGTGGATGAACCATGATGCGTCATGGCTTGCATGCAAAACATCACCCCAGCCTCAGCCTTTGGTACGGGTACGGGAGACTCCCACAGGGCCACGTAGTTCCCCCGCAAGTCCCCTTCGGCGGGCACCAAGAGAAAGACTTGTTGGGGGCACATCATCGGCATCTGAGCAGCCATGAGATCACAAGCGCAGTCAGGCAAAAGTCTTTGAAACAGCGAAAGTCGATGCTCCCTGATCGCGCTTGACCCTCGATGATCCTGCCGGAGTCTAAGCTACAGATGCGTGACACGGAACCAATGGCTCCCCTGACACACACCTTGCACGTGACTGTGGGGTTTCATTGCGCCTCCATGGCTGATGTCCACAAATGTTTTCAAGTCCTGATGTCACTATGGATCTTCCAAACTGAGGACGATGTGGCCTCAATCTTCCAAATCCAACACCCGATCGACAACAGGCTGCCCAAAATTCCGTGGCTCAAAATAAGGGTCACATAGGCTTGCAATATCAGTATATAGTATAGTACAGTCCAAGTTGTTCTTGACGAACTCCCTTGAAAAACGCATCACTCCATGGACCTGCCAAGCATCTGAGGGAGTGAGCCCCGTCTGGTAGACTCGATGGTCCTCCCGGGGCAGCTTTAGCACCTGCGGTCCGCGCTGCACACGCGAAAAAAAAATTGGAGCCTTCCACCAGTTGAACCGAAAATATTAAGGATTCCCAAGAATTCCCTGAGACAACCGCAGGCATGAGTACTCCAACCGTCCAGCCCGTGAAGGCACCGCCACGCCCTACAGCTTGGGCTCCTGGAGCTCATGCGGCACAGGGCATTCCCACATCCTCCGAGGCACGCGCAGCATCACAAAGAGGAGATGCTTGCAAACACCTCCACCCTTGGCAAAGTCCAAACCTGAGCTCATCGCGTGGGGTTTTACAGAGGCGGGATAAGATTGATGAACAAGTTGTATTGATTGTGCGAATCCAGTACTTCTGCCTTGCGTGTGTCGCTCCCTCTCTCTCTCTCTCTCCACATATCTATCTATATATATATAATCTCTGTGGGATATATAGGGGGGTCTTGACGGTGATTTTATAGATATGAAATGGTGGTGGTCATCCCCTAGGGAGTATACAGTGAGCAGGCCTTATCCCAGATAGGTCTCTATAAAATCATTCAACCTCAGGCCACCATGTGCCTGAGCAGTGACCAGAAAACACATAAAAACAATTCCACGTAATGCGTACGTTTCTTGGATACAAGCAGCTTCCTCCATAAAATCCAACCCCCACGCCCTCCTGGGCAGGGACCGTAAAACGTTTTATGGGATACCATGACCCCTGTGATTTTATGGAGGATATATCCACCATGTATATATATATATGTGTGTGTGTGTGTGTAGGTGCACAAGTTGTTATTTGTTTGGACGCTTGATGAGATCCGTGACTGGATCACGATTGCTAGCTCCGTCCATTGCCAATGACCTATGGAGCAAGACCTCTGGATTCCAACAACTCGCCAGCGCGTCCTGCCTAAAGGCGGTACTTTATTCCTGGCACTTTGCAAACCAAGCCTAGCCCGGCGCCCATCCTATTACATCCTCAGCCCGCCCCTGTGGCCATCCCAGCAACAGGAGCAAGCATTTCCAGAAGGTCGCAGCTCGACATGATAGACGTTGCCTGTGCTGCCCAGCACATCCTGGGACGGCCATCTTTTTTCAGACTTCGCGGACTTCCAGAGGCAATTGTATATGAAGTAGTCCTAAATTGATATGACAATGCTCTTGATGATGTTTTCTTGAAGTGCACACCCTACATCGGTTTCGTGGACTCCATGTGGTGGCCCATGCCGTGCACAATGACCCTTTGTGAACCTCCATGTGACGACCAAGCCTAGCCGTGCGAGCACTTGCTGGAAGAAAGGGATGAAACGGGTCAAGAAATAAATATCGAATTTCTGAGACGACGTACCTCCCAAAAAAACATTTCAACAGATACAGGGTGGCTATGAACGGTTGCGAATTTATTTCTGGATTTTTTCTTTTTTTTTGATGTTTTTTTGTTTTTCGGTTGTTGTCCATTGATTATTTTGTTTTTCCTTTTCCCGTTTTCTTTTCCCTGTTCCTTTTCCCTTTTCCTTTTTCCTTTTCCTTTTTCCTCTTCCTTTTCCTTTTTCCTTGTCCCTTGTCCTTTGCCTGTTTCCTTTTCCTTTTTGTTTTTCCTGTTCCTTTTGCCTTTTGCCTTTTCCCTTTTTCCTTTTCCTGTGTTCTTTTTTTTTTCCTTTCCTTTTCCTTTTCCTTTTTCCCTTTCCTTTTTGTTTTGACTTTATTTATTGTTTTTATCTTTTCCTTTTTTCTTTTGTTCTTTTCATTTCCTTTTCCCTTTCTCTTTTCCTTTTTCTTTTTCCTTTTCTTTTGTCCTCTTTACGTTTTCCTTTTCTCTTTTGCTTTTTGTCCTGTTCCCTTTTTTTTCCCCTTTTTTTGTTTTGGTTTGCCTTTTTCATTTTTCTTTACTAGGAACAAGAAGCTGCTAGGGTCTTCTGGCATCGCTACCCTTTTCCTTTTCCTTTTTCCTCTTCCTTTTCCTTTTTCCTTTTCCCTTGTCCTTTGCCTGTTTCCTTATCCTTTTTGTTTTTCCTGTTCCTTTTGCCTTTTGCCTCTTCCCTTTTTCCTTTTCCTATGTTCTTTTCTTTTTTCCTTTCCTTTTCCTTTTCCTTTTTCCTTTTCCTTTTTGTTTTGACTTTGTTTATTTTTTTATCTGTTCCGTTTTTTCTTTTGCTCTTTTGCGAAAACGTGCCGCGGTGAAAACACTGGTGGCCAATCAACCCAAAGTTCTATCGTGTTCTGGTGTTCATGTCGCACAACTCACGCTGCCACCGAGAACGGCATCTGGATAAAAAAAGATTTAAAAAAACAATGCCCTCAAAACCATGGACATGCTTCCTTCCTTCCTTCCTTCCTTCCTTCCTTCCTTCCTTCCTTCCTTCCTTCCTTGCAGCACCGCTTTGAAGCAAGGGAAGCCAAAAAAGCCACAAAAGTCAAAAGCCAAGAGAAGCCACCAAAGGCCAACAAAGAAACAAAAGCCAAAAGCCAAAAGCCACCAAAAGCCAAAAGCCAAGAGAAGCCACCAAAGGCCAACAAAGAAACAAAAGCCAAAAGCCAAAAGCCACCAAAAGCCAACAAAGAAACAAAAGCCAAAAGCCAAAAGCCACCAAAAGCCAAAAGCCACCAGCAAAAACAAAAAAAAAACAAAAAGAAAACAAAAAAAAAATCCAAAAATAAATACCCCTCCGTTATGAACTCACCAACCACCCCACCTCCCCACATCCCTCATTCCTTTGCTCCAAGCATCCAGCTTCTCTCCATCCCCGTCCGTTTGCCGCGCCAGGAAGTAGAGCCGATGTGCAAAGGCTCGATCAATACGCTCCTGGGGAGGCAGAGAGATCGGAGCATCCCATCGGGCACCTGAAAAGCTGTTGGCACCCCATCAACCCTAGAGAGGTTGAACAGCCCTTTTTCGCCCATCCCACATGTACCACAGACCAGGGTCCTATAATAAGTCTCTCAACCTCTCTTTGGACTCCGTCAACTGCAGACTTGAACCACCCCAATCTGGCCGGCTGGCAGCTCCTGCACTCGTGCACTGGGCTTGGGGATGAAGCGGGCAGGACGCTTCTCGCCAGGCTGCTTGGGATCCTGAGGCGCCAGCATGTGGAACACACCAGCACTAGCATCGTGCCGTGGAGGTCGGCCAATGGGGACTAGTGGGAAACACCTGCTACCCACTGCCTTCTCACCACCCACACCACCAAAAAGAACACGGGGTCTCCCAACCTGACCTCGTCCACCTGCGGCGCTGGGCCCGGATTCAAGTCCGCAGGCACAACACTGGCGCGGACAGGGGCCGGTGGTAGCCCGAACGCAACACACATGATCCCGACATGACCTCCCCCGCGCCTTCCATCCCTCCAGAACCCGGCCGGTTCCATCACCCGTCACCGGCCTTTGGACCATCCGCCTTGGGCTTCTTGGCGGCCGGCTCGTTGGCCCTCTTCGGCCCCCTCTTCTTCGGCGCCTTCTTCGGCTCCTTCGGAGAGGGCGCACGGGGCGGAGGGGGCGGAGGGGCTTCGCAGTAGGCAGCGGGCACCGGACATGGGAGAAGACGACTTTGGAGCCGGTGAAAAACGCTCCCGGCAACCCATGGTTGGTAGCAGTCCAACTGGCAAATTGTGCCTGGAGCCTCTTGTATCTCTTGTCAGTCAAACGCCACCCCAAGCGAAAGCGTGGACTAATGTCTCATCTAGATCTCGGAGTAGGGGTCCTGGTCAATGACTCCCTCAAATCACCAGGCCCTTTTCAGAAAAGCCTGGAAAAGCTACACCCTTCCATCACCCACCCACCCACCCACCCACCCAACCACCCACCCACCCACATCTCCTCCTTGGGTTTTACACCCAAGTGCTTCAAGACCGGAGCCTCCCCACCGTGCAGGTCAAGCAGAACTTGGCATCCGAAAACTGCTGTCAAGTCATCGCCAAAGAGACGACTTCAGCGTCTATCACGAGTTGACCCCTGTTTTCAATTGGAGGATCCGCTTTGTCGATTTCAATGATTTGAAGATCACCACCAGGGCCCCGAAGGTGTTTATCAGCCTTCCCAATTTTACAAACAATGATAAATGCCCTGCACAGCCGCAAATCAGAAAAAGCACGATTTGGAGCCGTCCAGTTTGCAAAGAGCCTCTTCATGGCAAGATCTCAATCTGAAGCAAATGGGAAGTCCATGTTGGTGACGCATATTTGAACCCGCAATGACGAAAAATAAGTTGCACACTCCCCAGCCTGTGCTTCCTTCAACTTTCCTTTCCCTTTCCCTTTGCCCTTGGCTTTGCTTTTGCTGGGCTTCTTCAGCTGCGGCTTCGTCAAAGCCTCCCATCACCGAGCAGAACCGAAAGTCGTCCTTCTACCAAGGAAAGACGAAGTTGGTGCTGGCTTGGTGAGTGGACATCGATGACCGTCCAAACCAATCTGCTGAAATTTCCTGGAACTCGTACTGATAGCACCATTTTGAGTCACGAGCACTGATGGTTGCATCTTCCGGTGCTTGGCACGCACCGGAAGGTCCTTCACCCAAAAAGATTGCTCAACGACTTGGCGCTGACCTTCTTCCCTCCGCCACCTCCGCCCAGCCGCACCGGAGTCTGAGACGAGCGCTGCGAGGACTCGAAGTAACGCAGGAGCCTGGCGCTTCGAGGAGCGAGTAGCGAGGGCGCGACACATCCGCTGGGGAGGGTGAATGGCTGGCTTCTAGTCAAGTGGTAGGCTGGGATGGCTCAGGGGTGTAATGCTGTGATACTTTGGGTCTATCCTGTTACCAGTAACCATGGAGGAGGAGGAGGAGCAGGAGGAGGAGGATGACGACGACGACGACGACGATGATGATGATGATGGTTAGGCTGCGGGCCTAGTTCAAGAATAGTGATATGTATATATAATTGTTTACTGACTGTTCCAGGTAAGTTCGGACAGACCTAAGGAATACTAGTCGAGCAGCGCTCTGAGTAAAGGTCGCAAGCAATTGATAGCAGCCATCATCTTGACTCGGTTGGGTGATGGATGCCTGTTGCAGCTTGGTTGCCAAAGACACTACAGAGTCCAATGAGCTTGGTGTCTCCAAAACGCATAATTTTGGCGCTTGCGCATCATTCCTCCTGAAGTGACTCAACTGAAGATCCCAAAGGATCTCCCTGTCACAAGCTACTGCAAGCCTTTCTGCAGAGTTGGTGCTTTTAAGCAGCCCCTGCACCTTGAGGACTCCGGCCCTCACAGCAAGGCAAATCAATGCTGAAGGGGCTGGCGTAAAAA